TCAAAGCTGCCCATTTATAAAATGAAGATAATGATTGTGTCCCCATCCTGAGGCTGCAGGGTGCATTGAAGGAGTTACATTTATACAAAATTTAGGGCAATGGAAAGCATATGTTGAGAGCCGTTCTAATTATATTCTTGTTGTTATTAATAATGTTATAATCACCATCATCGTCATTAGCACTGTTAACCCACTTAGGTTCTGTATCTTGGAGTGGCAAAAACAAGATCTTTTTGGTAACCTCCAACTCTGGCTGGGATACGTCAGAAAATATTTTGTGATTGAATTGTTCTACCATAACCCTTACAGATATCACCCCTCATCTTAGCCAACAAAGAGGTCAGTCGTAGCATCCTTGAAAGGACTTTAGCTTTGGAGAAAGACATGGATTTGAGGTCTGCACCTGCCACTTACTAGCTTCCAGACCTTTTGCTTCTCTATCTGTGAAATGGGTGTGATAAAAATAAGGTTAGTAAAAACATAGTTCCTGTAGAGATGAAGTTAGATAATGTATATCAAGTGACTACCATTGTCTAATGCTTAGAATGAACCCAGTGAATAACTGCTGCTCTGGCTGCTACTTTTTATTAGTAATGGACAATAATAAGGCATTTACAGCTATTTCACAGACAGAGAGGTGAAGCCCTATGCTGCTTGGCTTTCCAACAAGAAATCGTTCAGTACGATGTTGGGGTGTTTCAACGGGGAAATTTTTTTCAACAGTGCAGAGCAACATTTGATGGCTTGACCTTGTTTCTCAGCGCCCTGAGGTGCTGGGTGAGTCAGAGCATGTCTTGGGCCTAGGAGGGATAAAAGGACTAGCTTGGGAATTTTTCATGCCACAAAACATTTTGAATATGTACATGTACGTGTTATCCTTTGAAATGTTCAAAGCAACATCTGTGAGAAAAACAGCAGAGGTTCCTGCCCTCATGAAGTTTACAGTCTAGTTGGAGACAGACCTCAAATATATGTACTATAAATATATACGTAATGTCAAAATCAAAATGTATATCATGTCAGACTTTGACAAGGATTTTAAAGGACAAGTCAGGGCCCTCTGAGACCCTGGGGCTGCAGTGATCAAGATAAGAAAACCCATGTTCTTAAGTGCCTGGTGCTGTTGGCTGGGAACTTCACTTGCTCCAGAGGCTGCAAATTTTTTTGAGATAAGCACGTTTCTCTTTGGAAATACCACCTCATAAGAAACCATATCAAGGCTACTGACTAGCACAGTGCCATAAATATTTGATTGTCACTAAGTTTTAGGGAGTTGAGAAAAAGAACCTCTACTGCCTTGTGTGGCTCCAAATGAAAAGTCAGGATGGAACATTTTGCAAACATGACACCTCACCATTGCAAGCCTGCCGCCTGCTCGGCTGGTTTGTATATCTGGGGCTGGTGTTTGCCAGCGGCAGCAAGATGGCTCCTGGCCTCTCTCTCTCTGCTTCCCCGTTGAGGCCAGGAAAGTGAAATGAAACAAATTGCTTTCACTTGAATCTGTGAAATGGATTCCTATTTTCTTTGTTGTCTGTTTTTTGTGAATTATGGCCTCAGAGCAATTTCAGAGTTCTTTGTCCAAGAGATGCTTTTTTTTGTAAGCCAGTGTAGTTAGGAAACCAAGATTTGTATGTGGACCTAATTGAGGTCGGATTTGAACCCATCTCCAACTGTTTAAGGATGTCTGGTGGATTTGGGTAACTAGCACTTACTCGTTGTGTGAGTGGGAGGAAGTAACCCCACCTCCCTTTTCGTGACAGTATGTACCACATTGGGTTCTTACTAAATGAAATAATTATAAACAAACAAGCAATGCTGCTTTGGTGAATTTTGTATCGTCGGTGCTGAGAGCAATGACTAGTACATAGTTAGTGCTCAAGGTAAGTGTTCTTATCATCATCACCATCATCTTCACCACCATCATCATCTCCATCCTCCACCTCATCATCATCATCATCATCTCCATCTTCATCTTAGTACGGATTCAGTGGCAGGAATTCTTCAATAAGACCAAGTCAGGTTCAAGTTCTGGTTCTGCCACTTACCTAATTTACTAACTCCCATACTGGGAAATATTTTTTCACCTGTTTGGAGCCTCAATTTTCTTACCTTTAAAAGAGACCATAATATCTATCTCTTGGGGATGGCTGTAGGGATTAAAGTGCCTGGCACACAGTAGAATGAAACACACCTCCCCATGTGTTCTCCAGAGGAAGCACTTTGCTGGACCAGAAGGGGGACCAATTTCATCCCCACAATGGGGCATATATGCTCACAGGGCTTTCTAGATTATACAACACATTCCTGTAGATTTTATCCCTAGAGAATCACAAGAGCCTCATCGGGAAGAATATACATTATGGTTTATATTAATCAATGAGGAAACGGGGTATATGGAGGTTGAATGACTTGCCAATAGTTCCACCATTATGCTCCTGGCTTTTCAACACTTGTCTCTGATTCCATAGTCACAGCACCAATAAAAGGTTAGAAGGTAACAAACAGGGAAATTACCCAGCATAGTGTTTTTTATTTTATTTATTTTACTGCAGTCCATAAAAGATTTTATGTCACAACCCAATTCACCCACATAAAAGTTTCATGAAACAGTTCCTTACTCTTTTCTATTCTTTTCCAGTGTGGTATAGTTTATTTCATTTAAAGAATGTTGGTGTGATAACCACTGCATGGGTTCTACATCCCAAGGGTTCACACCTACAGTTTGAAAAGCACATAACATTTCCCCCCCCAGATGGTGTATCGGGATAATCTGGGGCACCTTTACAGTGCCCAAGCCTGGATCCCGCCCTTGGAGATTTTAAGCCGGTGGCTCTGGGGTGGAGTCCTAGCATCTGGCTCTGTAAGAAAACCCCAAATGACCTGATGGTCCACAGGCTAAGGAACAATGTCCTGTTACATCACTCTGATTGTTTCCACCTGAAACACTCTTCTCTATTGGGTGTTTTGACTTTTGTTTTGTTTTGTTTTTTTTTGCATTTTCTCTATCACTTCCCAGAACATCCTTCACCAGGGAATTTGTCTATCTTGGTCTCATCCCTTTTGCTTTCTAGGAGAAAGTAAGACCCCCTATACTTCGGTTGAAGGACAGAAGTTTAGCTTTTCAGTTATCAGTGGGACAAGGAGCTCATGGCTCATGGGAATGACCGCTGAGTCCACGTATTGGGCAGGAGGCTTGTGAGGAAGGGGCTCTGGTCCTCTGACGATGTGGCTCTGAGAGGGGAGCTGACACATCCCTTTAAGGAACCCGAAAAGGCTGCTTAATTTAATCCTGCATTAGAGGCATCCCCGGAGTGTGATTGGAAATGGAAATGTAAGGATGGCACAAATACTGTTTATCCAGATTTTTCTTTCCAACCCTGGGGAGCTGGGAATTTAAAACAAACAAACAAATCACCCAGGGGCTCCCTGAACTAGTACCACCGACAGATCAGC